AGGACGTTTTCACGATCGGCCAGAGAAACGTTATTTATTGACGTGGCCGATAAATTATCCAATTAGAGCGGATCGCCTCAGCAGCCTTCCTCAAACCCTTTTTTCGCGGCCGATACTTTCGTACATCGCATGCCCTCACGCCCCTTTCCCTTTTTATTTGATTTTCGATTCTGCACGCACCGTGCAGCAAATCTCTCGTGTAATTCCCAATATTTCCGTGGCCCGATCGAACATGTGTCTGACACGGCGTCGATTTCACGGCGTCCTTTTATCGGCGAAACGGCACGAATTTTCAAAGTGTGAAAAGGGTTGATCGAGGCCCTTTTTGCGGCGGAGGGTTGACACTTGGAGGGTCGACGGTCGTTTAAAGAACGAGCCTCGCAGAGACGCTCGATTCTAGCTGCTTTTATACAAATTAATATATCCTCTTTCCAGTCTCTCCTTGCTAGCGTAATTTTATTTTTATTTATTTATCTATATTTTCTTTTACTTGAAAGAACGTTTGACAGTGATACGATTATTCATTTCTCTATCTTGCAATTTAAAAAGGAACTGCGCGATTATTTGCTCAGGCTGTTCAATAGCATAAGTGAAATTCGAGGTTTTTAAGACTGATACGCGTTTTAAGCTAAGCATAAAAATGGCGGCGTAGCGGATACTTCGATTTCGGAAATAAAGTGCAATTTCACGGCGTGTCAATTTCTCCGCTATTAAGAGTACATTTATCAAAAATCCACTTTCGCTTGTTCATGTTCTTTGCAAACCGATCGATCGTAAATCGTTTACTTTCTCGGCAGTAAAGGCTTCGCTCGAGACGTTAAACGAAAATCTCTTAAACGCTCAAACTCGCGAAATCCATCACACCGTGATAAACCTATTTAATTATCTTCTTTACCACTTGGATCACGAACTTTCCCTGTTTTTGTATTATCGTTTATCGATCACTGATACTTGTTCGTTAATCGCTAGACATTCATTGGTGCGTGATTTTTCTATGGCGAAGAATGTTTAGGGGATGGAAATTTATCCGAGATCGAGGCTCTTGCACTATGCCGCATAATCAACGATTTTGATGAGCATCTTAAATGCAAATGAGGTGCGAAAAGAAGTGGTATTATACACGGGTTTCGTTTAGTGTCAGTTCAATAGACTCGATCGAATCGTATCAAAGCGTGACATGCAAATTAGGTGTCATCAATTGCACTCACAATCTGCACTCGAAATCGATCGACTCGGTATTGTATATTTTATCTCCGGGGGGTCGAACCTTGTTACCAACGACTATAGTATAATTAATAATAAGTCTACTTTGATTATAGAACGTTATTCCCGTTAAAAAATTGCATCGAATATTATTATTTATTATAATATTATTCTATAACACGGATAAGGTTTGTGCAATATTCAATACATCTATACCCAAAATCAATAAGTGAAAATTTCCTAATTTTTCAGCCAATTTTTCCTATATAATTAATGATAAATCTACTTTGACTATAGAACGCTATTCCCGTAAAAAAATTGCATCGAATACTATTATTTACTATAATATTTTTCTATAACACGGATAAAGCTCGTGCAATATTCAATGCATCTATACACATAAAATCAATAAGTGAAAATTTCCTAATTTTTCAGCCAATTTTTCCTACCTAAGACGAAAAATCAAATTCCTCGATGGAATCGAGTTTTGAAAAATTTAATCCAATTTGGAGGAGAAATAATGTGGAAGAATATATAATGCAGATATAAAAGTTGATGAAACCGATGGAAGATACGAAGCCAGGAAGAGAATTCCTAGGAAATGGTGGATACGTAGGAAAGATTGGCGGTCAAAAATAATGCAATTATGTAGATGTTACGGTACAACAGTTTCATAATTCTTGTTCATTAAACGCATCATTATTCGTCTTCCGTTTACGGTACGGGAGAAATTGAAGGCAAAAAGCGGGCAGCTGACGGTCGGTGCAATTACTGTACTCGCGTGTTCTAAACTGTTATCGTGCATCAGCTAAAGATCGACAGAAGAGAAACTGTTATCGCTCTAAGAGGAAAGAAGGCTCTTCCAAGTTGGTTATGGGTTCGAGTTTCACTTCGAACAATCGTTTCCTCGAGAAATTCGAATGGCTATAATGTAATGCCTGCTTTTAATTACGAAGCATACAAACCGAGAATACAAAAATTAGGCGAGATTTTACTTTTTAATAAATTCCGTGCACGAAGTATCATTATGATTTTATTACATCCGATAAGACGTATATTTGGCTACCTGATTACGAAATTATAGTTAAACTTAATCTGACAAAATGTAAATGACTTTTCTAACACCTACCCAATAATCAGCCCAAGTTGACTGTAATTTTTCAGAAAATTGAACGGGAATTGCTCCAATATAAATTTTTCATTTAAAGTAGAAGAGTAATGTGTGTACATAATTATATTTTCATTCGGTACCGATTGCACGCGTTAATCTTGAATAATTGCGAATAATAGGAGAATAGAAAGTAAAAAATTTCATGGTAATAATTCCGATTGTTTCAAGAATTTCAGTATAAAAATTTTTTAGAAAATTCAACGGGAATTGTCCCAATATAAATTTTTCATTTAAAGTAGAAGAGTAATGTGCGTACATAATTATGTTTTCATTCGATACCGATTGCACGCGTTAATTTGGAATAATTGCGAATAATAGGAGAGTAGAAACTAAAAAATTTCATGGTAATAATTCCGATCGTTTCAAAAATTTTAGTACAAAAATTTTCACCAATTTCCAAGTTTTACGTGCACACCGATTTCTCTCGGAACGAAAATCTGACAGTGTTCGTTCGATGAACTATCGACAGGCTCGCTACCGATTCGCGAATACTTCGATAAGAAATCGTTATGCAAACACGTCACACGCGATCCCGATATTTTTCCTTCCCTCGCGAAACGATCTATCACTCCGTGCAGTTCTTCGTGCCAGAAAATAGACGTTACTGTCCCGATCGCGTACGATTAAAACGAAAAGATACGGCGAATACCCGCCGATTGCGCAACGCTTCTTCCTATCGCGCTACCGGTGATCCCTCTGCACACTGATATTTCGTGGGAGCTACGAAACTGTGTGTACCCTCGTGCAATTACCAATATTACCAGAGAACGTTCCGTGATTGAAACAGGTAGCCATGACACGTCAAAGTTTCGATAAGAGTGAAAAATTATAGTGGATTTTCCAAGAGACAAGACATTCGTATCGTCGCTTCGAGATTGGCATTGAAATGAAATACGCGTGTGCAATGAGCGTTGCGATGATATAATAATGAAATACGAGTGTGGAAATAAATACGGATTATTAGTTTTCGGGAACCACGTTGTTTAATTTATGGGGAAAGGAACGATGGCTATTAGCGATCGATTAGAGGCTTGCCTATTGGAGGTGATCTACCTATTCGTTTCTATAGTGATGTCCGAGCATTATCAGCTGATTAGCAAATGTGACAGATGGCCGTGGTGGGTTTTATTAGATTATCGTGCACTTATTTTCAACCATACATCCTTGGACACCGCGCAACGACGTTCCAAAGTCGAAAATTTCAGTGAAAGTCAACAGCGACGCAAAGGCTAATTGGATTTCGCTTTCTTCCGTGCAATAAACCAGGTAAGGAATATTGATTAATTGTGCTGTGCCAATTTCACTGTGCTATACCGAACGCGCCTTCGTGTTGACGTCCCACTCTACACTGAAGTTAACGTGGTTATGAACAGATTGGAGGAACGAACGATATTAAATCGCAATTTGTTAAGTAGAAGAAATATTAAAAAAATGGAAATTAAATTTTTCGCTAGTGGAAAGAAATAATTCGTATACTTAGAAATTATAGAATATTATCTAAACAACATTTATCTCGTAAAAATTATCGCCTCTTATCTGGGACACGGAAATCAATAAAGTTCGCGATGAAACAGTCAAAAAGCCAATAACAACAAATAACAAACTATAATATGGAATAGAAAATATTAATCGAATTAAGTACGAACCACGCGTGAATCACGGAAAAGCTACTGTATATAGTATACGAAGTAGAGAAACAATTTCTGTATACACAAACACGAAACAGGATTAGGAAACCCTCGCGATGGAGATTTTAATAACACAACCACGAAACTTCGTAATCGTCCTCGCATGAGATCCAGGAAGAAGTGTAATCGCCCTAAAAACCTCTAATCTCCTAAACTAGACGACTACATCGCCATGGCACGCGTCTAGTGCATACAAAGAGAGTGGTGGGGAGAACGTTAGGTGCCCCTGCGTCGTGATTATGGGGTGAACTCTTGGTACGGTGCCCCATAGACGACGGACCGCCCTTATGGAGGGGGCAAAATACCCCCGGGACGGTATATATGCTCTAAGAGCCCCATGCCACTTTCACAGTACCAAATTGTACCCCGCCTAGAGCAGTCCTCGTTTCTTATTTCCTTTTCCACTCTTCGAATGCTCGGCTATGTCGTGACAAAAATTTCTCCGTAACATCGGTGCATCGTGTAGAAAAATTAGAAGTTTATGAGGTGACCAATTCGGGTGATAACTTCGTCGAGGATCGCTTCACTGAGCTGACGAGTTTATCAGGTAAGATAATTCTCGCGAACCACGCATTTTCGATATTTCATTGAGTCTCCTATCGAACGTTCAGAAATATCATCCATGGAGATAGCTGAAGATATACTGAAAATTCGGTGGATTGGTGAAATTGATTCGGAACTACCAAGTAAACTATTCATCCGTATAAATATTCGAAGGATAGAAAAATAAAACGAATTCTAAAGGTAACTTGGAATGATCGAGCAGACACAATGAGATATTTAATCAGTAACTATTTCGAAATTTGTAAACCTAATTGAGTGATCATTTTTATCAAACCTAGCACTTTACACGCATCAAACATTTCAAAGACAGGGGACCTCGCGAATTTCCAAATATTCCGTAAAAGTAACGTGTTTTCCTTAGGAAATCGTGCAGCATGTCCTCGGAGTACTCGTTCTGCAGCGAGGGGGGCTTCGACGAGCTCTCGAGTTCGTCCGATTCCGGTTTCGACGTCAGCTTCGAGTCCCCGAAACACGAGGTCCAATCCGACACCCTATATCCGCCAGCGAAAGAAGAAAAGCGCAAGAAGACTCGAAACACGCGTTGCAAGAGCCCCACACAGGTAACCGTCAATCTCCATTTACCACCCCGAGCCACCATCTCAAAGAACCTCCCTCCACCGACTCAACCGATCCAACGAACCTCTTTGATCCTTAAAGAAGCCTGCGGAAAGAGACAGGAAGTTAAATGATCACACGAAAGCATTGATTCGCCCGCAGGTGCTGAGGCTGAAAAGGAACCGTCGAATAAAGGCGAACGATCGCGAGAGACACAGGATGCACACGCTCAACGATGCCCTGGAACGTCTTCGGATGGCCTTGCCGACCTTTCCGGAAGACACGAAGCTGACGAAAATCGAGACCCTCAGATTCGCCCACAACTACATCTGGGCGCTGTCCCAGACGCTGGGAAATTCCGAGGCAGGCGAGATCACGGTGAACGTGGGCAACGTGACGGTCAGCATCAGCGAGAACGGAAACATGATCACCTCGTCGACCGGAAGTTGCGCCGTCGCCGCGCAGAAGCGACTCGGGCCGTCGCACACGGTGTTCCCGTACCCTCAAGAGAGATTCGTGCCCGAATGGCAGGAGTACGATTGCTACAGCGATCAGAGTGTCAGTCCTCCGATGCAGTATCAGCCGTGTTACGATCAGAGGATGTACCACGCGCAGCACCAGCTTCCGGCGCCTCACCATATGGGACACAACAACATGTATCAGTGTCTTTAGAATATTCTTTTCCGGTGGAAGGCGAAGAAACGATCGTAGCGGACTCGGATGTTTCATTGGGAAGAACTCGAGTATCGAAGAGAGCCGTGGTTACGATTGTACGTGGAAAATTGACGAGGATGATGGTAAAGATGACGCGTTGGAACGAGTGTGTACCTAACAGAGGAATTTTTGGGGGTTTCCGATGGTAGAGGAATGGGGTAGCTGCGGGATAGAGATTGGCTGGTGATCGCGAGTAGCCATGAGTCATCGCCGCCATTGTACCGACGTTGTAACGAGTAACTACATGAGAAATTGTTCGTGCACAGCAGTGATTTTGGTGTAACGAGTGAACAATTGGCGGAGCTTTAACGACCAGTTAAACAGTGATCGAGACGATGGGACTATGTAGATACAAATTTTTCGGTACAGGTATCGTATAATCGAATTGTCTCTACGCGAAGACTAATAATCGAAGACCAAAGAATAGAAAGTACTTAATAGATCCAGCATCCTCCATGCTTTAGTGAATTTTTTCTACGTCTCCCAAAGTTACAGTGACAAGTACGTAATAGCATAAGCTACGACTTGCGTGTAACGAGAATTCAACGATGCTCGCAATTGAGGAGTTCCTTGGAGGAAGGACATGTCTGACGAAATTTTCGAAACTGAAATATTCTTCGTGTATAACGTTTATTATTAATGTAGAGCAGAATACTATAGCACAGAACGGACTACAAAAATTCGGTAACGAGAGAAGTTTGTTTCGATAAATGATTTTCTTCCAAAGAGCTCCTCGATCGCACTTCAAGAAAACCTGCATATCATCGTACGAAAGTCGAACAGACTATATCCAAGATTAATTAGCGTGAAATTAACGGAGTGATTGTAAAAATGAGTAGGCCAGTGCGCAAGATGATCGTTATTTACTTTGTAAGAGAGCATTCTATTCGCAACGAATTACTAGGATTAAGATTAACGTTAGGTGAATCGTGGCAAGGCTTTGGAGATTATCAACGGATAATCTACTCTTTCCGAAAACGTATCAGGATACATTTCTTCTTCTTGTCTTATCCAAGGATCCCGATACGATCCTCGTGCGTAATTACAAACACGTGCATAACGACGTACATGTCACGTTCCTTTTTTTTTTCTAGTCATCGATGCTCTTAGGTTGATCTCGAACGCTTGATCTCACCCTTTGTTTCTAGGTTATCGTATTTAAGCATACGTCTCCGTCAGTGCTCTTATCGGATGGTGGAATCACCGATTCAGGGAATATATATTGTACAGAATTTATATCTTCTATCAATAAATCATATTTTACCTAGATACATCGCTCCTGCTAATTTCCACCCCTAAATCCTCACACTACGAGCAAGCTAATTAATTCTAAAATAATATCCAACTCCATACGAAGCATTCGTTTGCTAAATAATTAATTTCACGAGAAAGAAGGTTGAAATTTAAAATGGAAATTTATTCTAAATACAAAGAATTAGAGATCGAGTGCTTTATCGTTAATTAATGTAAAAATATATTCGGAAATTGAATTTATTAGCTTTCCCTTGATCACGTGTATGTAGCGTTGTGTATAATCAAATACAATTCTTCAGTGTACCCATCTGATGGCCAGTTGCATGCACGGAAGATCGTAGATAAACCACGTGCTAGATCATCGACAGGATCCTCGACAAAGGGGTGGAAACTGATCCGCAAACAAGACAGTGACGATTAAGCAGTTATCGTCTTACAAACGAGCATACTCGAGCCACTTTGCAGGAATGGAGTCCTGTTCAAGAATGAATGAACACGTGCCAGGACACGTGTCCTTTGTAAGAATCACTGTAGGGCAGATGTATCACAAGTTGCGGCAGAAATTACGCCTACCCGCCTAATCCGATGGATTACGCCACGAACGTGACTCGGAAGCGCTCGAAATCGTGCAACAATCGAAAAAATCGGCCCTAATCTATTTACCGGTAGTAATCTCTCAGACGTTACGCATAATCGTCATTTCGATCCAAAATTCACGCGGATTTCTGTAATTCCAAGAGAATAGGAGCGCAAAATTTCCATTGCAACGCGGACAAAGATATCTCGCAATTCTCGTGTACGAATAAATATTATCGAGTTGGGTGGGAGGACTGGTGTAGCGAAGAGTGGAAAAATGTTATTTTTCCATCACGAGTTCAACAGCACACCGGCTATTTTGATAACCTCTGCACCCTTTGTGCTCCGGTTGATCGAATGACAGTATTCGCCTATTTATTTTCGTAACACTTGGCTGCAGTGTCCCGAAAATGGAGGACCTACTTCTTGTGATGGAAATCAGTTTTCGGGAACGGTGCTTCCTATTGATCGATCGATTTTTCATCAAGTTCGTTAACCTCAACGTTCCTCAAAATCGATATAACACGATGACCAAATATGAAGTTGATATTAAATTCAGAAATTAATCGAACAGTCGCTTAAAATTTATTCAGAATTAATCTATGCGTGTATAATTTATGAGAAAATATTTTTAATTGTCGACTATTATAGTACAACTGTATCGGAGGAAGATGTTTTCCCGGTGGATGCGGTCTCGCGACACCCTTTTACCGGTTGATCAATAATTCCGTATACAAGGCCTATTTGCAAACAAGCTGCAAGCTGCGACGAATCCGTTACCACGCTCGATCGTTTCCCCAAATCTCGCCAATAATGGTAATGCTTCAATGGAACCATTATGTCCACGACGTATGACTGTGTGCACAGCGCGACAGACGGCTAGGTTCCGTAAAGGTGTTGGATTTTGGGGGGATTCAATCAGTTTTTGCCGTGGCCTTTGCACCCTGTAACTGCTTCCTAGCTGTGGGGGTCGTGACGATGGAAAATAAGAAATTAGGAAGACCGATTTATTCTCCAGAATTATTCCCGCGCAACCCCTATAATCGACAAGTTCCTGAATTTTCTAAATACAACATCGTCATGATTATTTATGTCGACAGTCTATGCAAATCTCTCGATGAGAATGCAAAATCACTGTTTGGCCGAGAAATTTCAACAGAGACGAGAAATTTCCATTCAACAGAAACAATCCCTCACGATGAATCTAAACAATAGCAACGACGAGGCAGCCTCTCGTACAGTTTAAACAAAGATTCGACGCGGAATTTTTTACAGACCATAAACGTCGCTGCTGCATTTCCGAGCGCAGTGATTTCGCTTTGATCGACCTTTCGTTGGGTCGTTTCCGTCGAGTGCACATATCGATCGCGCTCAGGGCCCTCATTGTACCGGGGCGCTGGTCTGTACGGTGACATACTGGTGGCTGACAGAGGTGCTCCCCCGTGGAGAGCAGGCCAGAACCATACAGGGGTACCGCGGCGGGAGAAGAAGAAAGGGGAGACGGGTTTTCCTAATTCATGAAAATTCGTGAAATTACCTTGACCGATCGGCGAACAGTTAACCGAAGTTTAATGGCCGTGATCCTCTGCGACGCGGAAACTCCCATCTGATGGAATAATTCTCCAAACTGACTGTCCCCTAAAAGGTAGACATGAACAGAGAAAGAGGAAAGTTTCCATGAAAACGTTCGATTTGACGGTGAAAATTGGAAAGCTCTGATCGATATGGATGCTCGATCGAAGATTGATGATGACACGTACTCGTGACGCTCCATTTTCTACAGATAATGGATCGAGTATTTGAAGTAGCGAATAAATGTAAAAATATTTCCATTGCTCGGTATTATTCGCGATTAATCGAATATTCTTTTATTTTATTTATACCATCCGATTTACTTTAAATCCTATAAAGTAGAACACTCGAAAAGGGGCTGAAACCAAAGGTAAGAAGAATTATCCGATCCTATTCGAATATTTTCAGAAGTCCGTAAATATAAAAATATTTGTTATTCTTTTACTCCTGAATAATTAATTCCTTTTCCATTTACTGGATTTATGTCGAATTAATCTTACTGCGAATACACCAAGGATTAAAACCACGCGTAGGAACAATGAGGACGTCGATCAAGGAACGAAACCACCCCCGATTCACCCCAAAAGGCTGTGGACGGACAGCGCAGGGTGCAAAAAGAAGATTCAGACAAGCATCTTTCGGCATCGTATTTCGGCATCTGTTTAGACGTGGCGCGTAGGGTAGCGGGCTTTTCACTGCAAGTTGGCATTTGCAGGCCTTTGTGGTAAACCACGAACAATGCCGGTTAGACCACTACGTCATGGGACACACCCCGCGAACACCACGAACGTCTATTCCACTTTCTCTCTTCCTCTGTACGCGTTATGCGCGTGGTAGCAGGCTAAAATATGGAAAGCCTTATTTGAGCACGAGATCGACGCCCCTGGTCGGAATAAATTGAATTAACGAGGACGAGAGCTGATTGTTAGGCTGCCTACAGAGATGCTGTCCGTTGGACTCTATTGTCGCCGAGAGGAAAGGAGTGATGGCACTGTATTAATCAAGCATGCAGGATGGAACTATTGTTTGGACTGCACTTTTATTCCCTTTCGCGCTTTTCACCTTATCATTTCCCATATTTAATACGTCTTCCTTCTCTCCTGTTTCATTGTTTTACGTCGCATTGATACCTTGGTCATTAGCAACTTAATTTGCACGGATACTCGACACTTTCTATAATTAGAAAATTAATTCCCTAAGCCTACGTGGCCTAAGTCCTACAGTGTTTCCTTTTAAATTAAATGTATCACGAATCTAACGATTCTATTTTTGCTATACTACCAAAATTGCTCTATTTTATCATAATGTAAACTGATAAAAGAATAATTTCTTTCAGATTTTCGACACAGACCACTCGCACAATTATCGACACGCGTGAATGCCAGGATATCTAATAAAAAGTACGAAGATCTCTATGACGACAGCGTAAAAGAGCGATTGGAAATGTATCTAGACGAAATACGCAGGAAATCTTTGGAATAAAGATACGATAACGTTTCGAGTCGTTAATAAGAACTTGACAACAACTGCCGAGAATCCACACGCCATGGTTTGAC